TTCCTTCTAGAAAGTGTCCAAACTTTGGGTTAATTGCAAACTATTAACCCAAAGTTTGGACACTTTCAAGTGGAGATGGAAGGCTTTGGGGTATATATTAATACAATATACCTCAAAGCCTTCCATCTCCACTACAAATGGGAGAAACTTTGTCCGAATAGTTTAACATTCGGACAAAGTTTCTCCCATCTTTCAATGTAATTGCTACCTGTGAGGTACTGACTTGAAGTCAGTGCTTCACAGGTAGCAATATCCAAAAATTTAAAAACATTTTATCAGTTCGTTAAAGAACTAGAGCCTCCTAGGTACTGAACCAGAATCAGTGCCTAGGGGACTCTAGTGATCTATATAAATCTGAGAAACTTTGAGGAAATTGTTCGACATTTCCTCAAAGTTTCTCAGCAATTTAGCGAGGAATGTTCGTTATCGTGTAGATATTTATAATATATACATGATAACAAACATTCCCGCTAAAAGATGTAAAATCTTATAAGAAATGATTGCAAAAGAATAACAAATTGCAACAAATTTTATATGAAACTGAACCTTATGAGGTAGTGATTCAAGATCACCGCCTCATAAGATTCAGTTTCAATCTCAAGTATCTCAAAAGTAAGGCTCTATTTTTTGCCATGTAAAGTGTCACTTTACTGTCAAACCGTTTTTATCGTTTTCGTTTACAACATTTTCATCCTTCGGGATCCATATGATTTTGGCTTCTGTTGCATATTGAAACCAAGACTCGTCCCCTGTTACTAAAAAGCGAAACTTCTTGGATTGATACGCACCCAATATAGAGAGGAGCTCTTTCGAAGATTGGACTCTAGATTTTTTTTGAACTGAATTAAGGTTGTGCGGAACCCAACGTGTATACGCTAGTTTGTAGTTCAAATAATTGTGCAGATAATAACTGACTGTTGTACGTGGTATCTTTGTCATCTCCTCTATCCTTCTAAGTGATGCTCTTGGGTCTTCATCTAGCGCTTGAAGAATTGCTTTGATTTTTCTTTGATCCGGCGATTTTTTGTCAATTTTTATGATGGGCGCCTTTTTGTTCATGAAGTGATACATCCTAACATGATACGTTACAGTGGAATAGCTAGGAGCATCCATACCGAAGCATTTTACCAATGTCTCGTAGATTTTTTTACAGTCTTTGCATTTTTTGCAAGAGCGAGGATGTTTTCTTTATGATTCATTAAAAAAATGAAAAAAATCCCGCCAAAATTTCCCGCGAAACCGCCTCTTGTCTCAAAATTCATTTTATATCCCGGCATGGCGCCAAAATACAACATACTCATCATATACATATATTCATATTTTTTATTATATATTTATAATCAGCATATATCTCCTTTAATAGTCTCATATAGAGCGCTGTGCTAAACGCACCTTTGGACACCCTATATATTATACACATGTATTGATATTACTATTTTTGTATATTTTAAGAGAAAATTATATTCTCCTAAAGTGAAAACAATTTTCCAAATTGCAGCTCCTTCAAAGATTTCTGAAGACTCAACGGTTAAAATTACAGTTTCTATCACAGATCCAGCTGGTCAAACTGCTACCTCTTTATATTAATATAATATTTATTTTGATATATTTTTTAGTTTAACTTTTTTTCTTTGATAAATATTTTATTTTATATTTTAAACCCTTTATTTTTTAATTAAATCATGTCTTGTAAATCAAATTACAACATGGCAAACTTTTGATTCGATATATATAGTTTACGTAACAAGTGATAGCTCCATTAGAAAGCTGAGTTTTGAAAATTACAATACATAGCATATCATTTCCAGACTTTCCCACTTTATTTTTTTTTTATTTTTTTTTAAAATGTTTCGTAATTTCAGGATGCTTTTCCCCTTTAACTTTGTTAAATGCGTAATTTTTTTCTATCTGACAACTGGCTTGAAAGATCATTGAAAATGCGATATAAACAATTTCATTTTTTTTCGACTTTTTTTTATAAATAAAGAAAATAAATATACAAATAAAATTATTTCTTAATTATTTTGTCATATTTGACAATTATATCCTGTCTCAAAGTATCCAAATCCGCAAACTGTGTTGCGTATCTCGAAGTGTCTTCGTCGTACGGCTTAATTACATCAGCCCTATCCAAGAACATCATCAAATGAAACGCGAGAGCTTTGTATTTTATCTGCATCAAAATTGCCAAAGCAGGATGGAAATCTCTTATTGATATGAACAGCAACAAAGCGTTCATTGCATTTCCAGTATCCAAGAAGTGGTGGGCGGCTCTTCTCAACAAACTCTTCGACTCATTCGAAAACTCTTCCAATTTGCAGACTTCGACAGAATCTTCCCATCTTCCGTTGTCCTGAAGATATCTTGCGGCAGAAAGATTAGCGCCAGCTAAATGCATCAATATACAGCCTTCTATAAATCTGTGCTGTGCAAAAAGTGGAACAGCGGTTGTTATCAAAAATTCTGTCACGTTTTGTGGCAAAATTTTATCTTCGTAACCGAGAAGCAACGCCGAACAAATGCTTGCCACTATTGTGAACTCGCTTTTGTTGGAGAGACTCTTGAAAACTTCGACAGCTCCTCTTCTATCACCCATTCTGAACTTGAACAACAAGTTGAAAATGGCAGAAATCGGAGTATCTGCAGGAGAAAACAGAGAAGATTGAATCCTCAACGCGGAAACAACTTCTTCTTTCCCTCCAAACATGGAATGTCGTGCTTGCAACCTCGGACCTCCCAAACTACGTGAAACACACTTCCAAATAATGGAATCAGTTGGAAATCCATGGTCATTAGCTATCTCAGCTATTTGAAGTGCTTCTGACCATGTTCCTGTAGTAGGATTCGTTAATAATTGCTCACCCATAAGCTCTAACCGTTGCTGGGCGGTTTTTAGCGGTTTTAAGAGGGCAGGTGAAGTGATTCTTTTTACAGATCTCCAGTCTCTTGCAATAACGAATTTCACGGCTTCGTCATTGAGCGGGGAGACGAGGACGAGTCCATTTCCTGTTACAGCGAATGAGGAAACAGAAAAAGGACAACTTTCCACTTTTTCAAGTGAAAAACCAAATTTTCCGTCTCTCGCGTGTACGTACAATCCGCTGGATGATCTCTCGAACTCTATCCTGTCTATGTCGATGAAAGGAGAGTATGTTTGCTTCGATGTACCGAAAGCAAAGTCGTAAAACATAATTACGCCGTCTGTGTCAGCAGTTATGATGCAATCGCCTTTCCAAGCAAGACAAGTTGTCCTGGAGTTCTCCCGTGAGTTACGCAGCCTCAGAACAGGCATCTGTGCTATGCCGTTCTTGTATGTGTAGACTTGGATTTCTCCGGTAGATAATAATACGGCGAAATTGGGAGTATCGCCTTGGAAACATGTTGCTGGTATTCTGGATACTTGGACTGCAACAGCGGTGATGGATGTTTGAAGAGTCATCGGCTTTTGTTTGACATCATAAAAAATACCAAGGTCGTATTTGCCGTGGACGAAAACGCCGAGCTCCTCTGAACATATTAGGTCTGTGGCAGGGCCAAGGCGAGTGTGGATTGGAATAACTTGGCGCTTGGGAAGATTTATTGATCCACACTCGGTTTTTGAGTACCACAGAAGGACATCTTTGGTAAGGAACTTGATCTTTTCAATGGATGTGCTGGATGCAAGGTAGTTCTGTGTGTATTTCCCTTCTGAAACGTCTGCGAAAATTATCTTTCCGGTTGGAGTGCCGAAAGCAAGGATTCCGTCGTAGAAATCGTAACAGGTTGGTATCTGTGGTATAATTTGAGACTGCGCGATGACGTAAGGTATATCATCTTTTATGGCAAACATAACTAAGCCATTTGATGGAGAGAACGCGATGTATCGCTCGGGAAGTGCACGGTTACATGCAGCGGATAGTGGTAAATACTTCGATTTTAAGTCAAACAGCTCTCTTTTCAATTTTATTGTTCCTGATTTTGTAAAAATGTAGTCTTCGTTACAGATATAGATACTGAGTGACGAGTCTTGACCATAAACTGTAATTTCGTTGTCATTTGTTAAAGAAGGAAGCAGTTTATGGAAAGATGATTGGGATGATTCATCGATTACAAGATTTCGGCCAGATTTGGTCGCTATGTTAAACGTAAGTATTTTTCCTTCAAGCATAATTAATAAAATATTACTAATATGGGGATGATGTTGAATTTCTACGATTTTTTCTGATTTATCTAAAGTATGGGATTGAGATTGAGATGTTGGAGCCTGCTTGGCATTCTTTGACGTGATAATTGTAAAGGATGGACCATTAGAATATAGAATTGCAGTGAATATATCTGAACTATTAACAGCCATCCTTGTATATGTACCAGGAACATCTATCTTCCAAAGTATTCGTGAGTTTTTCGCTTGATCTTCAGCTTCATACGGCCAAAAATCGATACTATAAATTGTATTTGGTTCTGCAAAGCCTAAAACGATTTTACGGGACCATTGAAGCTCCGATACATACTGAGCTTCAGATACTTGACGAGTGATTCCGAGTGTAAGACCTGATTCACAATCCCATAACAAAACTCTTCCGCAATCGTCTGAAATTGCAAGATAAGGTAGCTCATAGTGGAATTTAAGGCAAGTTATGTTAGAATTTAGAATTTCAATGGATCATAAGAAAGAAATATCATTTTTAGTAGTTTTATAGAGATAAATTGTGCCTTTACCGGCTAATGCAAGTAGCCCACATGCTTCCCAGTCCATGCTCCCTGTGTTGAACACTTTACTAGGTGGACAAAGTGAAGCAAATCGTATCTTAGCTTTATTAAAAGGATTCGCTTGCATTTTTTTTATAAATTGATATCGTCAAAAATTTTAATTCTACAATGTTTTAAATATATTAATATTTAGTTGTACAGAATCAAATCACATCTACTTGAAAAAAAAAAGGTAGTGGGGCTTCCAGGCGCGTTGCGCCCTCTAGCCCCGAAGATGTTTAGTATAAAACCGCTTTTTAACTTCACTTAAAATGCCACGTAAGCTACGTAAGAATATACGTAAGAGGAAGGGAGCATTGAAACATCCAATAGTAAAACTGACACCACAACAACAGTTGCAACAACAAATGCTGAATGACCCCACTATGTTGCAACAAATGTCAAGCAACCCTATGCTTTTAAACCGAGTTATTGGTGCACAGAGTGGAGGTTTAAGAGCGGCACTTTTAGCGAAAATGGCAGGCTATGGTGGAGCTGCAGACGGAACAGCTTATAACCCTCAAAGTCAAATGAATTTGAGTTCACTCAAAAATCAAATAACAGATGTCAAAAAGTCAAACATAGACATACAGAAACAAATAAGTGAAAACGAAAAGAAACTAGAATATGACAGACACACAAAGAAACTCAATGAGTTAAACGTAGAGAAAAAGAAGAAAGAAGAACAACTGAAAGAACTAAGTACAGAGGAATATGCGAAAAAAGTGTCAGAAAAAGCAGCAGAAGTAGCAAAAATGGAACAAGATGTTATAAATTTGAAAAACCATACTACTCAATATAAAGTACTGAAAGATGAAGAAATAAAACAAAAAGCCCTGAAGACATATATGGATAGCGATGAGTATAAAAAAGAAGTTGAAGCAAATGTAAAGGCAGAAAAACTTTTACAGTTGCAAAACCAAACCGTACAGTATGAAAACTTAGCACAAGAAAGTAAAAATAACGACGCAGCCATGCAAAAGGCAATGAAAAGCGCAGAATATATAAAAGCTAATAATGACTGGTTAGACGCCCAAGCCAACGCTAAAGCAGCCCAACTTATAGGGTCAATAAGGACAAAAATACAAGCGGATGAAGACAGTTCAAATGAAGCTTTAACGAATGCTGACTTTAAGAACGCCTTCGAAGCTCTTCATAGTAAGGTGAAACTAGTGAACGACTTCTCATCTGGAAAGAAACTGAAGTCTGAAGGTTTCGACAAAGAGTTAAAAGAAGTAGCACAAAATATGACGAAAATAACAGATGCAGCAACGAGACAGGCAGTTCAAAGTGCCCATGACGCCGTTAGAACAGCTGTTGTGGAAAGTCAAGAAAAAGAGTTACAACAGACCAAAAGAGACCTAGTAAATGCTTTCTTAAGAACGAAAAGTCAGGTAGGACATTATGCTGCAGATGGAACATATGTGCCAGCTGGTGGAACTTATATACCAGCTGGTGGAACTTATATACTAGCTAGTGGAACTTATATACCACCAAACCCTCCAAGAGAAGCACCTGCACCAGGACTACCTAAAACATTTACATCGTCACATGGACACAGACACAGGCATGCACCAAAACCAACACAACAACCAACAGTTCAAAATCCAGCACCACAACAACAACAACAACCAGCACAACAACCACCTCCACAACCAGCACAGCAACCAACAGTTCAAAACCCTGCACAACAACCACCTCCACAACCAGCACAGCAACCAACAGTTCAAAACCCTGCACAACAACCACCTCCACAACCAGCACAACAACCACAAACAGAGCAAGGACATAAAAGAAGTAGAGAACAAGGAAACCAAGATTTCTTAAAAATGCTTAAGGAAGAATATGGTTACCCAGATACTCTTGACTTTAGTGACAGATATAAAGAAGCTATTAGAAAGTTCAAGGAAGGAAATACAGACCCGAACCTATTTAGCTTTATGGTTCAGCACCAAATGGGATATAATTTCAAACCTGGAAAATACAAGCTCGCTAAGGGATATGATTTAATAGCATATCATCCAAATGACATGAACGAATTTACTCCGAGATATTTGGTGTCAGAGCTAAATGACAATTCAACTCTCTTCATGAAACGCGTAAAAAATAGAGACGGAACGAAAGAAGAAAGGTTTATGAGTCCGGATGACTTAGATAGGGAACTTTTTAAAAACGGTCTCGGAATATATGAAATGCCAGCAGATGAGGTACAAGAAACTCAACAGGAAGAAGTTCAGATACAACCAGACATGGAAGAAATAGTTCAGCAACAACAGCTAGAAGAGCCTGAAGGAAACGAACAAGTCCCTCCTTTGGAAACTAACCTCACAGAACTAGATGAAGATTTGGAACAGCCGAAAAATCTTGACCCTCAACAAGAGTATGAGGTGAATATGGAATCTTTCCAAGAGTCTAAAAAAAATTCGGCTGACATAGTAGAAGAATATCGAAAAATGTTTGCCGACATACAAAAGACTCCAACATCAGATGAAAATATTCAGCATAGAATGGAAGTACTGAAAGATAATGTACGCAAATACAACAATCCTTTTTACTTACGACCATATAACGTTCAATCTTTGGCTGAACTCGGTGAAAATAAAAGGTTAAATTTCAACAAAACATATAGAAATGAAACATTGTTTAAAGTTCATTCAGAACCTAACCAATATGGAAACAAACCTACTTTTGTTTCTGCAGACTATGGAACTACAATGAGATGGGGTCATAAAGCTAATCCGGATAGGTGGTTCATAAACTTACAACCACAATTCCAAGAAGTTGTAGACGCAATGGAAGTGAATGGTGAACCAGATATAGCTGGTATTTTCAGCGCGGCTTTAATGCCATTGAAAGATATGAAAGATGCAGATATTTTGAACCAGTATGAAATGAACATGGCTGATGGAAATATAACACCTGACGTTCTAAAACATTTATCTCAAAGAACTACACAGAACCATAGAGATGGTATATTTGGTGAAGAGTTTAGAAAGACAGTTAGGGAGAGAGAAGGAAGAGAACCTATTGTACATGACCTTGCAAACGAAAGTTTACAAAATGTCATAAAAACTTACTTTGCAGACAATGAACCGAGAAGGGATGAATATTTAAGAAAACTCAAATGGACAGTACCAAATGAAATGTTAGTATTGAAAAACATGTTCCTTGACAAAATAAAACCAACTACAGAAATAAATGACGAAAGACTGAAACATTGGGTAAAAGCTTTCCCATTCACAAAAGATATTATTGGTAACATGGAAAGAAAACCAGAATGGCTACAAAAACATATATTTGGAAACGAGCTTATTCCATATGGACAAGCTCTGTTTGAAGAGCTTGAACCGGAAACTCAGGAAAGAGTCATGCAAACAATACGCGAAGACTCAAATACAAACTATGACAAAATCTTTCTAGGATATAGGTTACCTGAGATGGGCGACCAGAGCCCAAAGGCAAAAAGGACATGGGAAATTTACAACATACTAGGTGAACATGAGGCAAAGATGCAACAACTTGAAGCAGAGGGCAAGTTACCAAAAGCGACACCAAAGAAGAAGAGAAGAGTAGAACAAAGTGAAAGTAGTGAAGAAGTAACTTCATCTAGTGAAAGTAGTGGCAATGAAGGAAAAAGAAGAGTTAAAAACTCAGTCAGGAAGAAAGTAAAGCTTGGTCCGAGTGGGTTCTATTATGACATATAAATCCAACTATTCTATATTTTTACCCATATGAAATGTACGCCGCTCAGAATATAACGCCAACAGTTTTGGATGCCATGAATGGAAATGTTTCCGAATGGTATAACGAATGCGACAATGCCATTAGAAGGTCAGAAATAGTTCCTGGAACTTACGAATATACAACTGCTGTTTCTTATGGAAACGTAGGTGAGTTTGGAGAAGGTTCTTCAACAACAGTAGATATTGCTTGCGACAGGTTTCATATTATTTCTATTGACAACTCTTTCTTATACGTGGAACAAGACATTGAAATAAAACCTTCTGCCAAGTTGTCTGAAAAGAAAGGTTGCAATGGAATTTTCTATGTCGGATACCAATATGCTCCAGAAGTTTTCATGGGATATAAGATATATTCTAACTCTGACTTAGTTCAAACAGTAACATGGGCAAACTATGAATGGTTCGCTTTAAGAAACTCAGTACAACCACAAGCTAGAGAACAAACAGACCAGTATGCAACTATTGAGAAAATAAGAAGACTTGACCCTAACGTTCCAGGAGTTTATGTTAACCTTTCTGGTTCAGATGGAACTGCTGCCACTAAAGTAAAACTGAAACTTAGAGTTCCTTTGTCATCTTTCCTCATCTTCAGGTTTTTAAGATACTTGCCAAACTGGGCAGGAAAAATTTCTATCGAACTTACTCCAAGCAAAAATAACTTAGTCATTGCACCAACACAAGACCCATTCACTCTTACAGACGTAAAGGGAACAAATAAAACGTCATTCGCCGAATTTTGCAAAGACAAAGTTGACTTAGACTTTGGTTTCTCAAACCTCAACACTGAAGTAAACTATTATTTCAATGCTGCTGGAGATGCTTGGGACCCAGTTAAGTTCACATGCGAAAAATTTGAATGCAAGAGAATAGAAAGCAGACTTGCAGTCTATATGTTGGACCCAGATATTTCAAATGCTTTAGCTGCCAAATATATTGCAGTTCCACTTATGTTCCCTATACACCAAATATCTGTCAAAGACTTTGCAGGTGAAGTTGGAAACCAAAGTGCTGACCCAGGTGCAAGAACAGATATTGCCTTAACAACTGCAATGAAACATGCAGATACTATGTTTGTTCTTTTCAGACGAACTATAAATGACTATTCTTGTTTCTACAACCCTGGTATTAAATATCATATAAACATAGATGGCAAATATTATCCAAGAGAAGAATATTCTACAGTTGAGGATATGAGGTCATACAACTTGACATTAGATGCTATGAACTTTAACAACAACTTCACAACAACCATTAACCCTGAAATGCAAAGTTCTATTATGCCATATGTGAAAGTATGGACCCATACAGGAGGTCAAAAAACTCAATATACAAATGGAGACCGTTCAAACTTTTGGCTTGGCATTCCATTTGCTGACTCAGAAGACTTTATGGGTGGTATTTCAACTGTTGGTACAGTTCAAATACAATATACTGGTGACAGAGACGGTCCAGATGAATTGAAAGCAAAGAAGTTTACAAAACCAATAGCACTTTTCACGGAAGATGCTCTTTTGAAAATTCGTTCGATGAAACCTGCTGGGGCTCCTCAGATTGGCATAACGACAGCTTCCATCGAGCAGATTTTGGCAGCAGGTCAGTAAGTTGTTCTTGAACTGACTTCTCTCCGTCAAATATTGACAGTACGCCAGTTTTGACATAATATTGTATTATAAACTTTCCTTTAGAAATATCTGTAAGTTTTGAAGTTATATTTTTGTCTGCTTCAAGAACTTTCACCATTTCAGTTATACCAACTTTCTTTGCTTTATGAAAATATTTAGGTTCAGCAAAGACTGCTATTCTATAACATTTTCCATTGTTTGTGTAAAGAACTATTCTGTCAATGTATTTGTATTGTTTGTGTGTGTAAACTTTGTTTTGCTTCAATTCGAAGAGATATCTGAATACGTCCATCTTTTTATTCTAAGTAAAATGTCATTTCCGAAAAATAGAAGTGTAAGTGTTTCAAAAGGTTTAATGGCGGTGGCAGATGTGAAGTTAAATTCACCAACTCAAACAAACAGTCAAAGTGTTGTTGTCAATGTCAAAGACAGAGATGTTGAAGTGGGGAAACCATACGAAGACGAAGATGGTATAACAATAGTTCCTGTAAAAGAACAACCAACATATCCTGAAGTTAGCAGAGACTTAAGTTCTGTTGCAGATATTCGAAACGACTACCAACAACTGAAAGACAAACTTAAAACTCAGGAGAAGATTTGTCAAGCTTTAAGTATAATGTTAAACTTGGTCGAACACAACCCTGTAAAAGTGAACTCATATGTCATTGCACCTCATGAAGTTTTGAAAGAACTATTGAAACTTTTGACAGAGGCAGACGATATAAACATCAAAGAAATAGAACCCGACATTAGTTGCTGTGGTGTTTCATATAATGTCATTGACAAGATATACGTTATGAAAGGAGGTGAAACGTTGAACTTAAAATATAGTTTCCCAGACGTTATAAAAATATTTGACGACCACAACATTTCATTAAAATTTATTTGCTAAGTAAATGGCAGAAGACATAATGGTTTATACTATTACGACTAAAAACCCTGAGTCATATAATTCTATAACAACAAACTTACAAAGTCCTCAAGGACGATATTGTAAACTAACCTTAAACACAATGACGACTAAAGCCTGTTTTGCTCTTTTGACACCAGAAGACTTTATTGTTGTGAATGGTAAAAAATACTCCTTTGAAGATACTTACTCAGATATACCACCAACAGGTTTTGTTGACTTATTTAATACTTTAAGGACGGGTGTAACATGTGCTGCAACTAGAGCAGGTTTCATTATGTTTGGATGTCCGACTGAGTTTACTATAAACGATATGAGTTATAATACAAAACTTATATCTGGTTTTTACTACCAACAGTTTCCTATAACAGGAAAAGGTGTCATACAAGGAATGTCTGTTCCATTGACTTTAAGCACACCAATCTTATATATTGTTTCAAACTTAGGTTCAAAGTGTTATTCGAATGTCGACAGAAACTATTATGACCAAAAGATACTTATGCGTATAAACAATACTTTCTCTGCTGGTTTGCCTATTGTTCATTCGAATGCAGAGTTTTCAGCTTTAGTAAACTCAAACACTTTAGCAAACATAAACTTAACCTTAGTTGACGCAAACTTTGTTCCTGTAAAACTTTTATGTCCTATGTATTTGTCAATGACGGCAGAAAGTTTCGAATTGGAAGATGCAACTGGTGAAAGTATTGTATTACAAGAACAACTTCAACAACAAATAGCTCAAGAACAACAAATGCAACAAATGGAACAAATGGAACAACAAGCTCAAGAATAAAAAAATATTTTTTTTTATTTTTATAAAAAAATGTACAGAATAGATGTTTCAGATTTTTATGACTTCCAAGCATTCAGAAATATGTGTCCATTTCGAGACTATAACAAAGCAGTCGAGAATTTGAAACGTTTAGTCATTTATGTTGACTCTGCCCCAGAATGTTATGTCATGAAAGAATGGGATGTTGTCTTTAACAAACCAAGAGCAACAATAGTGTCTGAACAAGAATGTAGACAGAAACTTAAGAAAATAAAAGTTGTACAAGTTGGAAGGAAGATGTTAGATGCTTGGGATATCTTATTGTCAAAGTTAGAAGATTTTTCAGTTCGAGGTATAAAGTTCTATACACCATCTCCAAACTTCTATTCTATCTTCACTGGATATAAATACGAACAAGTAGAATGGACTTTCAAAGTTAACGCTCCAGAGGATCATAATAAGACAAAGTTACTTGTTGTTGTTGAGTTCGCCGCCAATCATAAATCCAACTTAGGTACCGGTAATGTTACATATTCTTCCACAGTCCCCACACCAGTTATCGAGAGTGTTCAATACAACGAGGCAACGAAGTAATTTCAGGCAATCCATACACAGCCAAAATCATACTCGAAACAGGCTTAAATATTACAAAGACATATTATCTCTTTGCAACAGAAAGCGAAGCTTCCAACGCCTCTGCCACTAGCGTCGCAATATCACAAAATGTTCTCAATGCAACAGCCGTAGCAAGCGGGAACAAGAAAGAATGGACTTTCAAAGTTAACGCTCCAGAGGATCATAATAAGACAAAGTTACTTGTTGTTGTTGAGTTCGCCGCCAATCATAAATCCAACTTAGGTACCGGTAATGTTACATATTCTTCCACAGTCCCCACACCAGTTATCGAGAGTGTTCAATACAACGATGGCAACGAAGTAATTTCAGGCAATCCATACACAGCCAAAATCATACTCGAAACAGGCTTAAATATTACAAAGACATATTATC